TAAAAAGTTCTTTATGCATCATTTGTAGAAGAATCTGAACCCAAATGAGGGGAGAAATGACATAAAGCATGCTAAGAGTTCATATTCAGAGATTAAACTTGGAAGTTACTTTGATAAAAATGCATGTTGTTGCCTTAGTTAACATGCTCCTGCAAGTGTAAACTGCCCATTTGAGATGCATTTTGATATTCCCCTGGTCAATCAGAGGTTGGGCAATCTTCAGATTTCTGGGATCTGTGTCATTTTTTTTCTTATTAGATTTCACAGACTTAGCAACTTGAGCCAAGTGCAAAATAAGCCTGAAGGAAAAGGATGGCTTTTTCTGCTCAGAACATGGGTAGATAATCAATATAAAATCAAACTCATAAGTCTTTACATAAAAATCAATTTCAGTGGTGTTATTTGGGAAGCTGGGAGGAACATTTTAATTGTTATTGCAGGGCAGTTGAGACTCAGAAACCATACCAGACGCCTATAAATTGTCCAGTTCCTACTCTAATGTCTTCCCATCCCTAAGTAAGCATTACACTTTTCTACCCTCAGTAGAGCTATTTGATTAAAATTGATTGCACTTCTTTGAAACCTTCCAATTTGATTGGTGTAATATCTATTAATACTGATCTAATCATTGTTGCCTTATGGGACCCAGGAGCATGACTTCTCTGTCACAGCGCTTGCCCTGTGGAACAGTCTGCTCTAAAATTTGGTTGGATCTGTCCCTGCTGGCTTTTAAGAAGGCCCTGAAGACCTGGTTCTTCACCAGGTGCTGGATCAGGAAGTTAGATGAAGTAGCTGTGTGATAAGAGTTATGTCTGGTCCCCAATGCATGTTTTACTGAAATACATTTTATTATTTTTATTATTTTCTTTGTATTGGATGTTTTCAACTCTTTTCAGCCACCAAGAATCTCTGGCTGAGTTGATGGCCGTGTGAATTGATTAAATAAGTAAATATATCTAATTTTATAATATAGTACATAGGTAGAAAATGTTCTGCCCCGCATTAGAAACAATATCAAATGTGCTATTTAGACATTGTCTAGGTCATAAACAAATGTTAAGATTCTAGGTGGAGCAGAACAGAATTGATTGCGAGTATGAGAATATAGTCTACAACTTAGTTATCTTTACATGCATGATCTGTTTTTAGCCCAAACATGCGTCTCAGGACCCACTTCTTAACTTTTTTGCCCAACAGTATATTTGACAGGTGAGATGTGACTGTTACAACTCATTTAGATCAATCAGTCAATTGACTTTCCTAGTCTTAATATGCTCCTCCAATCATCAACTGACTGTTAGTGGCCTATAGCTGTATCGTATATAAACATTTACAGTTACGATACAAGATGTAAACACAATTACATAATAAAATAATGGTTGCCATAATAAAATAATTGTTTACCACCAGCTGGAACAAGTAGACAGCCTAGTATGACTGCAGTTCATTTGTTTGTTTAGCATAATTCACCAAAATTGAATCAATCAATCAATCAATCAGTAAAATTTGTAGACTGTTTTTCATGTAAATGCCCTGAAGTGGTCTATAAAGAGTAAAATCATTAAATACAAAAATAAAATGATTTCTTTTATAATATGTGTAAACAAATTCAATCGGAAAGACTCTAGGTGGTGAGAGGGTAAAATATAAAGGCGTTTATAACTGCT